CACGATGGGACTGACTTTACCTTAAACTTAAATTTAGGGGTTGGGTCCCTACACCCCCACTAGAGCAAAAGTTGCGCACGCAATCTTGACCCAGTGGAAAGGGAAGAGGGATAACTCGAAAAAGAAATCGGAAAACGAAAAAAGGGAGAAAGGGGAACGTGTGACGTCAACATTTTTCAATCTTGGGCGGTCAGGCCCTTCAGCCCCCCGCGATACAATGAACAAAGGAGAACTCAACACGTGTGGACCACTTGAAACAGAACACTTTCCAAATATTCCAAAACCGAGATTTTACGATTTTACGACCATGACCGTCGAGTTTATCTCTCTTTGAATTTTGGGTTTTCAAGAAAAGTATCATTGTGATAAATCTTGGGAGAACTATAAACTGAGAATTCAACTCAAGTACTTGACATTTACGATTTCCGGCAACAGTTTTTCTCGCATCTGTAGACTTATTTTCTGTGTCCCTTGTTCATGGTCCTTTCATTCTAGCATTTCTTTACATTCTCAAATTTCAGGTGTTATTTAAATTCGTTTTATAATAATGATTCAAATCTCGCGGATTAAAATGGTTGATTAATAGCGCCATCTATCAAATTTAACGTCAGGACATCACAACCAGATCGTACCCTGGAGATTAGCAGGTGGAGGGGGTACTTGAAGTGACTACCCCCTGCGTGCGACTCTCTCGGAATCTTACTAAGGCCTTCTCCCCCTAGTCTGGGTATCTCAGCGACGATAGGTCATTCCGTTACCCTATCCCCACCAATCAACCCGACGGGATCACGGGGGCACCCACCGATCTCTATATAACTGGATAGCCGATCCCTATGGCAGCCAGTGAGTTTATTAGAGAGGTACGTAGCGCCTCCGGATAGTGGTCAGCGAACTAAGATTCTCTCTAGTGCGCATGTCCGTGTCAGCTGCAGGTAGTGGGGCAGTGGTAAATTTACTGAGAGCATTGAGAAATATTATAGGATATTTTACCGTGTAGGACATCCAGAATAACAGACGAACTTTTGTTAATAATTAGTGAAAACTGACATTGTCTATAAACGCGAAAGGAAGCCGTAGTATGGAGGAATGTGGAAATTAGTACAATTGTTATTAATATTGTCTTATTAATGAATTGTACAATCGTTAATAATTGAAAAAATTGAATTTTTAAAAACTACAAAGAATCGCCAAAGAGTGTTATTAGATTATTTTAATCGTAATTTTTTGCTAGATTTAATTGACGTTTTAGTTTTTTCAAAAAATCAATTTTGGACAATCAGGATTTAACCCACTGTCTTATGTCAAAGTCCATAACTTTGTTGTAAAGAAAGATTGAAATCGGAATTTTTGACTCAAAATATGAAAAAAAATCAAGAAATTTTTGACACATGATAGAACATGAATGACCGTTTTTTAAACAATATCCATTATTTATTTATAAAACGGAGATGCTTGAAAAGAAAATAATATGTTGGAAAATGTAATATGAATGATGCTGATAGTGTATGAATTTTTTATAAATTTTCTCACGTAATTTAATGGAAAAATTTAATAATTGAAAATCTCGACATCTATAGTATGGTCAGTATGAACTTGTAGCCTACTGATGAGCTACTTTAAGGAAATTAATGTATTCAAGAAATTGGGAAACTCAAAATAAATATTCAACTGAATTTATTCGTTCGAAATTTTTTTGTATTTATTAAACTATAATACACCTAGACTGATCGGAATTTATTGATTGAGTATACTATACTAATTTTACCTTTTTCAATTATTATGTACAATTTGGGACGGAGAATGTTTCCACGGCAATTTTCCGAGCACGTGGCCCCTACTGCGGCGCGCATGCGCACTGACGTCATCTTTAGTACCTCAGCTACTATACGGCAGCGCTGGCTAACACTTCAATTTGCCTCACTTTGAGAGTGGTGGGAGCATAGGGATCAGCCAGGCTTGGGCATATCTGGAAAATGGATGTTTTCGACGTGACATTGTCTAAAACCGGTAATTTACCGATAGAGCGTCAAGAACTGTCGAAAAATGTCATAAACTAACTTAACCTCACAACTGTCTTGAATCTCGAGCGGCATCATATAGTCAGGTGAAAATTGATATTATTCAATTAAAATGAATTGTTAATGAACGAATGAATTAAAAAAAATTTTGTACACTATTGTCCCGAAATAATAATTCATATGCACGCAGCGACAAATTCATGATGAATAATAAACAAAAAAAAGCAAAGAAAGCGACTGCAGGCGTAAGTATTATTTGATATTAACCAGTTAAAATTAACACGCAAAGATTGGTAAAATAATAACCAATAAAATAACTTGATTATTTAAAATTTTAGATGTCTCCCCGAGTAAAATCTGCTACCAAGACTGGACCAAAACGTAAAAGGGTGAGCTCCGGAACACCTGGTGAACAGACTGGTCCTGGCTCAGTTGATTTGGCTTTGGCTGAATTTTTCTTTGGTTGCAACGTGCCCTTCAACGTTGTTGAATCAGATTTATTCAAACGATTCGTGAATAGTTTGAATCCATCGTACAGAGTCCCATCGAGGAAAAAACTGGCCACCAAATTATTGAACAAAGTGCACACCCAAGTTATTGAAAAACAGAAATATACTGTAGCAATAAATGGTGTTTTATTGATAGATGGGTGGAAAAACTCCTCAGCAAACACAAAAAATGTGGTTTGTACCATTCAGACTCAAGATGGGAACAGTATGTTCCTGAACTCGTGGGACTTCAGCGAATTGCGAGAAACAGGTGATGAATTAGCCACAGTAATTGATGAAGCTGTTGCGATGGCCAAGCAAAGATTTAATATCGATATTTATGCTGTTGTCTCTGACAACGCTTCAGCGATGATGCGGATGGGTCGGCTTGTTCAGGTTTGGCACAGTAGTTGTCACTCCCACAGTGCCAATTTGTTGTTGAAGTCCCTCGTCGATAAAGAGTTTGCGGAGTCAATTAACAAGCTACTACGAGAATTCAAAACACCTCGGGGAGAAAGAGAATTAAAGAAACGTGGTGGTACCAGAATAATGTTAGCCTGCGACACTCGGTGGTGCACATATAGGGACACATTCCGTTGCTGTTTAAAGAATCTTGATATCATGCGTCAGTTGGTCCAAGACGAAATCGTCGTACTGAAGAAGCCAAATCGAGACTTGCTGGACAGCAATACATTGGCAGCTCAACTACAAGATTACATAGTCATGTTTGACCCTGTATGTATGCTTGTCAATAAATGTCAAGCAACTGATTGCACTATTGCGGATGCAGCTGAGCTCTGGCTCTCATAAAATATTCCAGTGAATGATAATCAAATTAATGAGACACTCGATGCACGCCTTGATAAGGTCTTGCAGCCTATTGTTTTGGTAGCGAATTTTTTACACCCTCAATACCAAGGGCAAAACTTCGCTCATTTGAAGATATTCAATTCTAAAGTTACAACTTTTCTGGAGGAAGAATTAGGTACAGGTGATTCACGAGAGGTGAAAGGGTTGGAGGAGTATAAACATAAGAGTGGAATTTTTGAAGAGCTTTTCAACAAAAAAATTCAATGTCCGAAGACATTTTGGTGTTTAATAGAGCCATACTATCCCGCTCTAGCAACATTGGCCACGAAATTATCCAACATTCCAAGTTCATCCGCACAAATCGAGAGGTTGTTTTCCCACTGGGCCTTCATCCATTCGGATTTACGCAATCGTCTAAGTGTCGAACGCTCGATGAAACTTGTAGGAATTTATTATGCCTTCAAAATGCAGGATCTGATCGATGATTATCATTGGGAAGAGAGGGATGATTGATTACTTTGTTTATGGAGATAATTAACGATTGAATGTGGATAGAACTCATGTTTACAATTAACTGACGGTATTATTATCTATGTGCTGTAATTGACAAAAGTTTGGAAATAAAAATGTATAATTCACAAAACTTCATAAGTATTTATTTTAACTGACTCTTACTCAAACTTACTTATGTCATATTATTTATGCTTAATCACGTTTTGATTAGATTCGTCTTACAGGTTCAATATCACGTACAAAAGATTATTTTACGATTACGATAAGGCTACTCGTCTGTTTAAATCACTGCTAAGGGTTACCCCCTTATCATTAACAATGTTAAATTTATGAAAAAACAAAACACATAAATTTTACATCAGTTGCTGATAGAATCTATAGATAATAAGAAACAAATATTTTTGCACTTTGTCCTCATTTTTCAATGCTCCATCTAGGAGAATCTAACTTCAAGATTAAACTTTAAACAAAAAATATATATTCCGAGCTTTTTCGCTGTGATAAAATGGATCGTTGATATTCGTCATATTATATCTGAGTCAGTACACTGAGGGAAAAATATTTTATTCTCTAATAAATCTTGTTTGCCTCAAAAAACTTGTTCGTTGATAATCAAGTATGGAATTGTTTGTACTCAATATTTGGAGAGTGGAGCGAAAATTTGAATTTCTGAAGAAATTCAAATTTTCGCTTTAATCTCCAAATATTGAGCACAAACCATTCCATACTTGATAATTATCAATGCACAAGTATTTTGAGGCAAACAAGATTTATTAGAGAATAAAATATTTTTCCCTCAGTGTATGAGAATGATGAGGCAACGGACACTCTTACTTTTTCTCCTCTCCTCCATCAATTTTATCCAATTTTAGATGATGATGGACATCCACAAATTTCTGGTAACGAGTAGGTGTCAATTGATCAACGGAATAATCGACAAAGTCGAGCTTTAACGTTTTCACTGGGACTTGTAGTAATTTCTTAACGAGAGAACTCAACTCAGGATAATATTCCATTGCTACAGTCCAAAACAGCTGCCACCTCTTCATCTTCTTGTCGAAAAGAGTTCTAAATATTTCTGTTTTGTTCTTATACTCCATATATCCTTTCAAACCTTCCTCTTCTAACAATGGCAGTAGGAAATCTGTCAATTTCTTGAGTCTGGCATTACCATTAGCATATGAAACTAATAATTGGCCATGATAATGAGGATGGAAGAAATTTGCAGCTATTAACTCTGGGGACAGCATTTCGTCAAAACCAATCCATTGGACATAATTCTGCTCACACAATTTCTCAAATTTAAGCCAACCTTCGGTGATGTCGCCCAAAGTGGTGCCTGACTCCTCGCATTGTTGAGACAGAGCTTGCAGAGCTTTGAAAAGATTGACAAAGCCTTCCAACTGTTTTTCGAATTTTGAGTCGAATAATTCAACAATCCTATCCTTGAGCTGAACCACATCATCCGCTACTAGCTTCTTCAGGAATGCTAAGTTAATCAGAAAATTAGCGTACATTTTCTCTGCATCTCTCCAGCCATTATCTGCCTGATAGATCAACTTAGCACCACCATGTTCTTCTATTTTTTCGTTTACAATGTCTGATCGTAATTCATTTAATAGGCTTTCTAACTTTCTAGTAAGTAATTTATCTTCAACCTCATCACCGGCCGTGTTAATCAATGAGTTATGATCCATAAAATACCACAGGTCTGGATAAATATCTTTATCCAAACTTGATGCAATACATTCGTCTTCAGTTACAACAGCATAAATTTTCTTTTGATACTTCTCTTGTTTTGTCAATTGCATCAAACAGGATGTGAGTTTCAAGAGACAGAGCATCTTGCCCCTCCGTAGTACCATATGAATCGAGATAAATTTTGACACCTTCACCGGTCTGAATGTTAGCTGTGACTGTTTGTGGCATCTCTGCAGGTTTTTTGCATTTGGCAATCATCAATACCCAGTTTTCAGAGGAGACAACCTTGCCTCGAGTGTCAGCAATGTCTTGATAAACTTTTAGCAGTAATTTTGTTGCCAAATCTTCAGCAGATATAACTTGACATGCTGGTCTCAAGAACTTCACTAAGTCCTTGAAGTATGAAGACTCAACGAATTTGAAATCGAGCCCATGGACATACACCAGTTTTGCTATTCGCAAGTTGATTTCTGCCTGCTCTTTCTCACTGACACTGTCAACAAAGTTGTCCAGTCGACGTTTCCGCAGTTTTGGTGTAAGTGGCAATGTCGATGAGCTTGTAATCTCACTTGATGTTGTACATTTTGGATCTCGAGTTATACTAGTTGCACCAGCAGGAAGGGCTGGAGCCTGACAAGGTACCTCAAGCTCAATTGATGAAGTCTGTAAATAATAAATATGATTACTGGCCATCTTAAAGGAAATGAATTTTTACACGTTTGTTTGGTACACATATGAATATGACTAGAATACCTCTTGCGTTGTATTAAGCTCTGAACGCGTCTCCTCAGATGCAATTGCCACAAGTTTTGTACATCTAGCCCTAGAAAATAATGAAATGAGGTTATGACACTACAATTGATTTTTCTTTTCATCAATTATCATCACATATGTAGAGTATACGATTTTAGTTTAAAGGGTTTTTTTTTGTAAATGTATTATTTCACTTTGTACTTCTATTTACCTGTGAGTTTTCAATCGACTCATTCCTGTGTTCTGCAGAACTCTACGGCAATATAAACATAGTGCTCCCTCTTTTACTCGCTCAAATTTGCCTTCCTTATAATAGGCATGTAATGGTCTCCCCCCCAGATCCATTGCACTAGTATTTAACAATAAATTTAGTAAAATAACTCTCTTTGTACACTACGTACAAGCTCGATGTTTTCCTGTCAGCTCTCAGTGCTCTCACGATTGAGGCGGCATGGAATTCCCGGTAAAAACACCTCAGTTTCACTAAGCGCCGACAGAGGGCGCCACATACGTTTACGACATGTCAAAAACGTCGTAAACCGACCAGGTAATTTACTGGTTTCTGACTGGTCTGAAACCAAGTAATTTACCTGAGGTAATTTACTTGCCCAACCCTGGCGATCAGCTATCCAGTTATATAGAGATCAGTGGGGGCACCACTCCTCTCACCTCGCCGTTGGTCCCTAATCTACCCCGACATAGCCTATAGAATCGCCCAGCCCAGTTGGATAGTCTGTACGTCGGCCCCTTTTCCCCTAACACAAGCTGGGGGAATTCTAAAATAGCGATAGTCTAGTACAGCCGCCTCTAGATGTCGTTTCATGTCTTTCTTTATTCAATTTTAGAGTTCACGTATCTTTTTAAGGGGATTTCAATCCGTAACGAGAAAATCTGGTTACAATTTCCAAGCTAATATTGGAAATCGCTTTTTTACTTACATGGCAAAAAGAAATCCTCTTCAGTGAAATGTAAAGAACAAACTCTCATGGAATTCGACCCTTTTTGGCCCATCCTTAATATTTTAAGCCAAGCCGTACGTCTATCAATAATTCCTTCTTCACCGAACTTATTAATTATTGTAACTAAATCCACGTTTTGGCAAGGAAAACGATAAAATCTAACTGTTGAATTACGACAGGCTTTGCTGTTGCATCCATACACACTGCAAAACGTTTTATTCTTGTTTTTCCTCTTCGCAAACTCCATGATCAATAAAATGTTATTATAGTCAATATTCGACTGAATCAACTAGGTTCGATTATTGCAAAATATCGTAATGATAAAAACATTCAGCCTAATGATGTTTATTCTTGCGAGAACAGTTCTGGCTCCGAGTTCAACCGGCTAGCTGACAGCTCTATCCGAACTAGTAGTCGATTGAACCGCTAGAGCGCGTGTGCATTTGCAAGAGATCCCAATGGTAAACTCTCGCCAGGCCGCCATGATTGAAAATAGCGATGGTACAACAATTATGGCGATGTTTACTGCGATGACTTTAGCGACATTATGTGCGATAGTTGGAATACCATTATTTGCGATAGGTTGAGCAATGTTCATTGCAGCCATGAACTGATGATTTTATCAACATGAAGAGCGATATTAACTATCATATCAAGTGCCATTGACAACTGCGTCATCGTTTCCAATCATGGCGGTAGTCAATCACAATGTAAAGGACTAAAGTATTGAAAAATTCCAATGCTCCTCATTTGAAAGACTATTATCAGAATTTAGTAATTTTAGTACCATTGAATTCCCGAGTTTCGATTCTATATCTGCCTGAAGTTGGTAAACAAAGCGCTGACGTCATCCTATATGCACAAAAATATAGCTTTTTTAATGTAATTTAAATTTTCTTCATGCTTGTTCCAGTTATGGTGCCGGTTTCTTCAACGGTGATTCCCCTTCCAGTTTACAAGGTCGGTTATGGATATGGTTTCGTGTCGAAGGACAAGAAGGCTCAGAATATTTATAATCCCGATGGAGAGGTCAAACTAATTACGGGTAGAAATCCAATGAAGAGTCATCAAGTAAAATTTATATCAAATTTAAAGACTAACAACTTGCAAAACTGATGAATATTTTTTTATTTTAGTGAAAAGACTAATTGCGAAACTATGATCGACTTTTCCAAATGGATGAAACAAAATCAAAAAAGAAAACATGAATTATGTATCGTATGTTATGTATGAATTTTCTCCAAAAGCTGTACACCAAAAACTAACTTAGATTAGGTTCCGCAGTTATTGTAAACAGCTGTTAATAAAATTATGATTCAAGTTTATTCTAAACGAAGTTTTTTATTTCTTTGTCAATCAAACATGGAGTGAGTAAAAGGAATGAAGTTATAGATGGATTTGCAATGGAATATTTATTTGCGTGCATCTTGATGAAGTTATAATTCCGATTTGAACGGCTGATGGTGTAGATAAGATCAGTTTGAGGCGATTTCCTACACGATTTCCATTGGCTGCTGCTCAGCTATAAATAAATAAGTGATAATTACGTTTTTTAAACAAAAACCGTACTATTCAACTCAAGAAATTTTCGGATTGGAATATAAATTCTTTGAATACTCACGAAGTTCATTGAACATGAAGTCATCTTGGTACTCTTTGAGATACTGCGTGGACCGACGTTCATCGAGAAACAGCGAATAAACTCGTTTCACATCGTCAATACTGACCTACATATAACAGAGAAAACGGATTTGAGAAAAGAAGCGATTACATAGTGACTCCACTTCTTGGGAATTTTAATCATAGACAAGGTAAATAATGCCCAATCCTAGACGATCAACACATGTCAGGAGTTGGAGGCTATCCAACGGAAGGCATATGATTGTGACTTTTTGCGTTATTAGTCTTTTCCTTTTTTAATATCTACCAATTCCGTTAGTAGTAAGCTTCCGAATGTATCCGTAGCAATTCCTTGCCCCTATGACAGACATACAGCCGCAACCACATTCTACAGCAGGGTTGGGCAATGTCCAGGTAGCTCGGAGCTACTGCAATAAAACCAGTTAGGAAGGGCTGTAAAGTTTACAACCCTTCCAATTACAGGGGTCCCAGTACGATCATAGTAGGGGTAACGAAGTGTGTTGGGACAGGCCAAAATAATTAATTCAATAGAAAATTTTGAACACTAGACAATCTAGACATTATATAGCGTGTCCCAAATCCCAATTTCCAAACTGAAACTGCAAGTTAAGGGGGCAATTCTGAATCGAAATGTCCTGCGGAACTTTTCGATCGGAAGCACCCTTTTCAAGTTATTCAAAGTTGAAGTTGCGCCAATCAGGAGCGCGGAATGTAAGGACGCCTATCGGTGAGTGGAAGGTAAGAGTGTTGGTGTTATTCCCACCATACGGCTCTGCTCCTCTCATGCGGGCGAAATACACAACTGCGTTTTTCGTTTGAAAGGCATGAGCAGGGGAGGGAGGAAGGAAAGGGAGAAATTGGGAAAGATGAAAATCATTTTCTTCTCTCTCTCGGTCTCTTTTTTTTCATTTTTTTCTGTCGCTCCCACAATAAGCTCTGAGGGACTAAAACCGTGTTTATCTCGGAGATGAGTAACTTTAGGAGGGAAATGCATAGGATGTCTTTTGCAGCTGAAGAATTTTCCAAAGAAAAAATTGGATCATGATTTCTCCTGAAAACAATAATTATTGAGATAATTGGAGAATCAGGGAGGTGGAACGAAGGAATGGTCCACTTTTTCTCGAATTTAATGTTTTGTTGATTTTCGATGCAATTATCTCAAAGAGGAATAACTTTGAGAGGAAAACCCACAAGATCTTTTTTGTAGCTGAGGAAATTTTCGACAAAAAGTCAGAATAAGTTTTTCGCTAAGAACAATTGTGATTGAGATAATCGGAGAATCAGAGACGTGCAACAAATCAATGGTCCTATTTTTCTCGATTTTAATGTTTTGTTTATTTTTGATGCAATTATCTCACAGAGGAGTAACTTTGAGAGGAAAACCCACAAGATCTTTTTTGTAGTTGAGGAAATTTGCGACTAAAAATTTAGATGAAGTTTTTCACTAAGAACAATTGTTATTGAGACAAAATGATTTTTCCAACCGCCAGTATAATTACAAATATTCCTCCTACTCCTCCAGGCCATTTTGCGGTTCTCAGCGATTTTACTCTCCAATGCAATTAGAAACACAAATCTTCACTATATGCCAACGTTTCGAGCGGTATATATACTCCTCATCAGGGCAATTTATTGATATTTATCTACAAAAAAATTGAATAAAAAATTCTTATCATCATATCTCCAGAGACAATTTTCCTATTTTCATTCACAGAATCTAAATCATAAGTATTTAATAACTCAAGGATGTTTGCACATTACCTAGCTCAACCAAAACACTAAATTATTCCTAGAAACTTCTAAACCCCATTTATTGTAAATGGCAGAACCACAACAGAATCTGACCACCATCCTAACCTGCAAATCACAACCAGTCTAATATTGCATCTATTTTAAGTCATACATCCAAGTTTCTAATCACATAATGCGACTCACCAGTGTCTGAAATACGATAACAACCCCCCGTTCTTCTACTTTATTTACAACATTAAAAAAAAAATATTTCCAGTGATCTCACTTAAAAATACCATAGTCAAACTGAATCCTACAGTTCAACCATAACACAACAGACCAAACATATGGACTAGTGCCACTAAGGGCTGGTTTACAATTCTTTTACGAACTCACTCATGAAAACCCCAATCACACTGTGTCATTTTAAAAATAATACAAATTAGTCATCATTCATTTATCGTCAAACCTAATCAACGGATAATAAATTGTACCCAATTTTTTACTATCATTAATGAAATTGACAGTCCTATCGCTATGTTTCTTGATATGTTACATTTCCAGAATATCCAATTTATCCTTCCCTTTAACCGAACCTAAAATACTTGACTTGTCAAAATTAAATTTATGTCCTTGGCTTTTTACATGATCCGATAAACCCGAACGATAAAGATCCGGATTTTTTCCACTTCTCATGTGCTCTTTTAATCTACCATCAAAATATCTGGTTGTCCGGTCAATATAAACTTTATCACAAATATTGCACGGTATCTTATACACTACACTAGACCTCTGATCCTTTGGTATTTTATCCTTCGTGGATCCAAACGTTAAACCCAATTTCCTGCTGCTAGATGAAATCAGCTTTACATCATAATCTGCACTACAACGTTTAAGATTGTCTGTCAAGTCTGGCGCAAATGGAACTATTAATGTTTTCTTGTAATTAATTGCCTCACAACTTTTGTCTTTAGTATTGGAGCTAGAAATCAATTGAATCCTATCATTAATTATACCATTGAAAAATTGTGCCAGATAATCATTGAAAATTAAAACCTTCCTAATGAAGGCCAAATTTTCAACCCAAAATCTTTTATCAGACAGTCTAAGCATCCTGTCTGTTAAGTTGGTCATAATTGCTCGCTTTTGCGTAAGCGTTTGTAGTAGGATGTACGGAATTGAAATTCAACATTCTTCCACTCCACATTGGTTTTCTATACCAATTGAAGCAGAGTGTATTACTCTCCTTAATAAGCAAGACATCCAAAAAAGGCAAACAATTATCCACTTCAATCTCATGAGGGAAATTAAGCCTGAGATGATAATCATTACATGCCTGCAAAGAGTACTGAATTTTATTTTGTGGAATGCACATAACAATATCATCCATATAACGATAATACAATGGAATGTCGAATTTTCTCTGCGAAGCTTGTCCAAAACTGATTCTTCCAATAGACTCATTGCTAGATCCGCACAAATAGGTGCCAATGGACAAGCCTTTGGCAACCCGAATACTTGCTTGTAATTTTTGCCACCAAAAGAAAAGAAAGTATTTTCATAACCGTATCTATTGCTTTAATTACTTCTTCATATGGAAGACTGCATTTTAATTCACTTTTCCATTTTACTATTGCATCAGTGACCAATTCAAGAGTTACATTCGTCTATAAACTTACCACATCGAATGAAACCAGCACACAATTGTCTGGAATAATTACGTGTTTTAATTTATCAATTAAATCATAACTTTTTTTTAAATGCGACGAAATTTGTGTGGAATTTGTTTTTGAATTTGTTTTTTTGAATGAGATGGAAAGTGTTAAAGTTTGCAATTAATGATAAGATAAGATCTTCATGGGATTTAAGAGGGAAAATTAAATTCATTAAAAATAGACTAGTAACTATTATTCCTCAAAGAGTTTTACATAATTTTTGTACAATGCGAAGACTGTCTCTTAATAGATTTAATGCAAGAGAAACTGACAGACTAAGTAGAAAATTGCAATATTTGTTGATTGATAAGTTCAGAGATAAATTCACAAAGAATGTGTTCGGTAATAATGGTATGTTAAGTAAGAAAAAAGTATTAGAGTTAATAGAGGAGAAGAAAAAGTTTAAGGAAAAATTGATTAAGAACTTGTCATCAGTACCCGCAAAACAAAGTGTCGACATTTTACTACAAGATTGTCGATATGGTATCTGAAATATTGTCGCGAAATTCTCGACAAAAATTTGAAAATTATTTCGGCATTGAGTTATCATGAACATCAAATTATCACCGTCATTACTCCCACATTTACGGATAACTAACGACAAAATCGATCGTCAGCATAACCTACAAAATTTTGTAGAAATTTTTCATCACAATTTTCACCAAAATATCTCATAGAGCCAACATCAAGATGTCATTAATTTCTTCGTCAAAAGATGCCATTCATTTATTCACAGAATGTCGTAAAAAATATCATTGAATTTTCAGATAAAATTTTCCGATGATATGCCGGAAAATTTATCGCTAAAGTTATCCATAAAATTTGCCGGTAATGTATCGTTCATTATATCGGCAGCTTAGTAACAGAGTCACGTATAGACTAAAATTTCAAACTTTCTGAAAATTTGTGTGGCAAAGACAAAATCCCCATTAATATCCCCATATCTCCATTTTAATTAAGATTTGCGTATATCAAGGTATTGGGTGTGTAACTTAATTTTTACAATTTTTTCTTCGAGCTTAAAATTATATTTAAAATAGAAATATATTGGCGGTCTTTTCTGGTTTTGAAAGTATCGGATAAAAGGTTTCAGAACACGGAACGACAAGTCTATGTAAGTTACATAACCTTTCAGAATAGCAGAGTTTACGATGGCAACTGATAAACAGCACATTTGGCACTGCATTTTATACGAATTCCAACAAAGAAAAAATGCTTCTGAAGCACGGGAATCAATGTGTAGTGTTCTTAGTGCCAACGTTCCATCTTATGAAACATGTAATTATTGGTACAAACGTTTTAGAAGTGGTGATTTCGATCTGAGTGACCAGCCGCATCCTGGACAGCCTCGAATGTTTACAGATGCGGAATTGCAAGCTCTACTGGATGAAGGCTCAACGCAAACGCAACAAGAGCTTGCAACTCAGTTAGGAGTCACCCAAACAGCNCTATGTAAGTTACATAACCTTTCAGAATAGCAGAGTTTACGATGGCAACTGATAAACAGCACATTTGGCACTGCATTTTATACGAATTCCAACAAAGAAAAAATGCTTCTGAAGCACGGGAATCAATGTGTAGTGTTCTTAGTGCCAACGTTCCATCTTATGAAACATGTAATTATTGGTACAAACGTTTTAGAAGTGGTGATTTCGATCTGAGTGACCAGCCGCATCCTGGACAGCCTCGAATGTTTACAGATGCGGAATTGCAAGCTCTACTGGATGAAGGCTCAACGCAAACGCAACAAGAGCTTGCAGCTCAGTTAGGAGTCACCCAAACAGCCATTTCTAAGCGTTTGCGTCAAATGGGAAAAATCCAAAAACTTGGAAGGTGGGTCCCACATGTGTTGACCGAACACAACCTAGCTCAACGTATGAACACGTGCCTTTCACTGCTTGCCCGGCAACAATAAAAGGACTTCTTGCGGAAAATTGTGACGGGTGATGAAAAGTATATTTTTTACGAGAATCCCAAACGTAAAGAGTTGTGGGTATATCCCGGGCAATCCAGTAAATCGACGCCGAAACAGAACATCCACTTAAGGGGTAACGGAACCCGTCGCATGTAGAGGTTAGGCGTCCCCCCTATCGGTATTGCAGGTTCCCGTGGTTTTTTGGATTTTGTACGTAAAAAGTACAAAAGCCCATAAAACATGAATAAATGGATATAAATAAATAATAATGGTATGGAAACATTCTACATCATCTTCTGACTCATAAAAGTACTTCCCTCTTACAACTGGTGCCCTGTAAAGGACATGTTACCTCCTGGATACTACCCAATCATCATAAACAAGTTTTGACGAAAATTACGCAACAAAAGTACGGTTTTGTACTCAAAATCTCTGCCTTGGACCTCACTCGATCGCTCTCTTCGCATGAAAATAGCCATCGGCTAAGAAAAATCTATAAAAAATCGTTTTTTCTACCATGACTTTGCAGATTCCTACAAATAAAATGGCATTGGCTTTGCCCTGGTCCTTGCCATTAAATAATTTGCAATTTTTCTTGCATAAATAAGAAAAGTATGAGAAGAGAGCGATGCGTTCCGCTACTCTTAATACGGGGAAAAAGTTTCATCAATTCTTATTGCATGGAATCAAAGAAAACTTGTTTTTGGTAAACATCTTTTTGTGGTCGGTTCCGTTACCCCTTTAAGGAGATTCTCCTGTGTATCTGGTGGGACATGAAGAGTGTGCTTTATTACGAACTCTTGGAAACAGGTCAGACGGTGACTGCGGAACGCTACAACCGACAACTGAACAAACTGAGCGAAGAACTTGATCGGAAAAGGCCATTTACTGGGCAAAGAAGCAGGCAAGTCATACTGTTGCATGACAATGCTCGACCTCACGTTGCTCGCACGACTCAGAAGACCCTCTTAAACTTGGGATGGGAAGTTCGACCGCACGCGGCATATTCACCAGACTTGGCTCCATCCGACTATCACTTGTTCCGGTCCATGCGGCACGCCTTAGTGGATAAACAGTTTAAAACGCTGGGCGATGTGCGTAAATTCGTCGATGACTTTATCGCCTCGAAGCCTGCAAGTCTCTTTCGCGAGGGCATTCGAATGTTACCTGAGAGATGGCGCAAGGTCATAAAAAACAATGGACAATATTTCGAAAATTAAGGTCGTTGTTCTCAATTTTTTATATTAAATAAATTTATTGAAAAATCTGTAAAAATTAAGGCACACACCTAATATTTACAACACTTTTAGCACATAAAAATTAATTCGGAATAAAGAAACGTATTTCCGAGAAATGGGAGTCAGAGAAACGTATGTAATGAGCATCTAAACAAAAGAGCAACGTATCTCCCGGACATCCGGAAATACGTTTGTTTGTTACATAAACTTTGTTTCCACTAATAATCCTTTTTTATACTCGACCAAAAATACGTTGGTTTATTACTTTTTTGTAACACCTGCCAAAAAAAGTTCACTTATCGGCACGGTTTGCGTACGTACAGTGTTAGTTTCCCGCACGACGTGTGTATAGTTCACAGGTCGCTTTACGCACTCGAACTTCATTTTACACATGACCTTGAACTTTACGCACTCCACGCACAAAACAAACGCTTTGCCCCCCCAAACCACTCCTGAAAGAGAA